TCATGCACAACTGAAGTTTGAAGAATTTAAAAAATCAATAGCAGTGATAACAAAAGAAATATGATAACTCTACAAAATCCAAGGAGAGAGGTAATGATGTCTGAATTATTTCTTGGTCAAGTCTGTGAGAAAAAATGATATAAATCTTTCAAAGTCCCTGCAGGGTCACTATAGAGAAAATCTGAACCAAGTATGTCTCTAAAATAAATGGTTAGGATTAGAAGGTACTTAATATAATTATAAATACTTTATGTTGCAATGAAGCATGGCTGCATTTTAAGTACAAAGTGCAAATCCTTTGTTTCCCAGCAGACTTTTAAAAATCCTTGAAAAATGCTAGTTTTCATTTATTTATTTATTCATTCATTCATTCACCTCCCCTTTTTTGCTTTTTACCTTAAGAAGTTTGCCCTTCTTTTGCTCTTCTTGATCATGACTTTTTTTTGGTCATGATCTTTACTTTCTCTGAATGCCAAATACATGCATTAAAATATTAATGCATCTAAGTAGAAAGTTGGAACAGGAACCACTTAGAAGGTTTCAGAGCATATGAGAGTAGGGATTTTTTTTTTGTGTCTGTCTGTCTGTCTTTCTTTCTTTCTTTCTTTCTTTCTTTCTTTCTTTCTTTCTTTCTTTCTTTCTTACAACTTAAATGTCTGCCACTGTGTCCTGGCCCTTATCACAAACATAAGAGCACCTATGGGGTGAGTTCTAGGTTATCATGGTGACCGAGGAGATAACACAGGGGTCAGTGAGCTCTAGGTCCTCATGGTGACTGGGGAGATTAACAGACTTAGGTTGCAACAGTCTTGGGAGATTTTGTTCAGGTTATGAAACAAGCTTGGACTATCCTAAATTCAAATAATTAAGGCATTACTCTGGCCACCTGAGTAACACGACTCCCTTCCACTTTGATGTGTCCTTGAAGGATCACGGCATCCAGCTGAGTTTACAGCAGTAGCTCCTTGTGGCCCAAATAGAATTCTAGAAACCGTATCTCTGGTACTTCATAATAACATGTTTAACAGACTCTCCACTTTCAGTGACTGTTGGGTTCATAGTCACATATGCATGGCATAAGATGTGTAGAGAAACAATTGGCCTGATAATGGAATGCTTGAATAGGCTATAATGTGCATCTGTTGACATGTCAGGACCCTGTGGATCTTGAACTTGAGATAAAGGTCAGCACTATACAGTCAAGATGCCATTGCAACAGACATTCTGGGACTCGGAAGCACTGGGGGCGGGGGGCTAGGTTTGAGTTCCAGCTCTCCACTCACTGCTTCTGGGACCTTGATCCATATCACAAACCTCTGCCAGCCTTGGCTTTTCTGCTTAAAAGAATATGGGAGCTACCTACTACGTAAACATATGATTGTGTGTTTTATGTATTTGTTTTCTGTATCGTTCCACAATGGTCTGAAATGCAGTACATCTACTTCAGTATCAAGTATCTTTGTGGGGCCCATGCAGATTCTTCAAAGACAAATATCCATCCATCACTTTTTGAAAAGAAGCCATCACCCATAACAAAAAGAAACGGAAAAGGAACTCCTGAACAGGCAATTTCCAGTTTAATAGTTTCAAAGGATCAAATATTTATTCTGAGTGTGCCAGGATGGCTAGAGATGCCAATTGAAATGAAGAAGTGGGAGGACTACGTATGACAGTTTTGAAGACAGTTTTCAGCTAGTACAAATATCATACACACACTCATTGCCCGTTAATCAGAAAAAGCACTAGCAATCATGGAAGGCTCTTGGGGATGAAGGAGCTCTTCTCACTAACTTTGGGTTTTGTTTATCATCACATACATGCTCAAACACCCGAGAAAGAGGAGGGTTTACAGGTGTGTGCCATTTGCATTCTTCACAAAGCTAATGATTTTGTTGCCATTTGGGATGGGCGTCCACATCTCAGCAGTTCATAGGCTTTGAAATACCCATGGCCTCTCTGCTCCTTCCTCTGTTTTTTTTTTTTTTTCCATTTCCGGTGCCACTGGCCTTCCTCTTGGGCCCCTAACTGTGATTATCTGCCCTTTGCATCTAGTGCATCTGAAAGATCGATCTGGCTTTTATCAGTTCATAGGCTTTGATCCTTGTAACCAGGACTTAACCACTTGGCGCTCAGCCCTGATCAGACCAACTGGTCACCTTTGGGAACTGATGCTGTTTATGGCAAAACAACCACAAAATCTGCCCCACTTCCTTCCCTTCCTTCAAAGTGGAATGGAACCTGAGGATGCTCAGTAATGCTAGTGGCTCTGTAGCCACAGTGTCTCTAATTCCCATGGTTTCATTAGATCCAATTAGAGTGAATCGTGGTTTATTGTATACCACAGCCTACCCTCTCACTCTTTGGACCCTTACTTTAGGGTTGGTTGCCCCTCCCAGTAGCTACCTAGCATATTTGGCTCCACAGTACATTTGAGAACAACATTACAACTTATTTGACAAACATGTTGACTCTTCTTTCTTTTGTATACAAACATGTCTGGGGAGATTCATCAAGTGAACACCTTTTCTTTTAAATAATAATAATAATAATAATAATAATAATAATAATAATAATAATCTGTTCCATAAAATGGTAAGATGTCTGAGAACACTCCCAACACTACAGTCTGTGCTCTACAGAAACATGACAAGAAGCTCTGAATGCTCCTCCTCCTTTTACTGGAACTTGTGAGAAATGTAATCTTGACGAGACTTACCCAACTCAATATTCTACAGTTTCACTTCCATGAACAGCAATAGAGTTGAGGGAGCCACACTTGTGTGAGAGAGTACACTCTCAGGGTTAAAATGCTCTGATTTCAAATTAGGCCATGCTCACAGCCAAATCCTGAATTCCATTCACCAGCTGGTGTCCTTGGATAGTTTTTTTTAAAGTTCAAAAATTCCATTTCTTTATAAATAAAAAAAGTACTGATGTTTCCAGCATTCAGGAATTTCTAAGGATAAAATGAGGCAGATACGCAGAAGCTTCCAGCCCAATGGCCAGAACTGCTGTCGCTAGGTTCCTTAGTAGGAAACTGAGAAAGAAGGGATGCTAACCTAGAAGGCTGGGTTAGCTAAGCCTGCCCTCTGATAAGATAGGTATGGAAAGCCTCACTGAGAGACATACCAAGAAGAGACCACGCAGGTTCTGGTTTCCAGGTACAAGGCTAGAGAACTCAGTTCTTGGCTGGGAGGACCATAGTCCCAAGTGTCAGATGTGATTTTTTTTTCTGTTGTTTTCAGCATTAAATGGTGTAACCAAGTTCCCTCCCTTCTGCGAGTTAGTCACCCCAATGCATTGAGCAATGCCACCTCAATTTTTATGGCTAGAACCTTGATATACTACCTTAATGAATCATGTGTTTGGAAGGCATGGAGGGTCTGCTTCTCCCCTTCTCTGTATCTCCATCTTCCTTTACCCAAAGCATGTACCTTCCAGGTGGGAAGCTATATTCCAGTTGAAAGGACCCATGCGAAGGGGGACCTACACCTCATCTCTTCCTGTTATCCCTTTGCAATGCCATCTAGTCTTTCAGAGAAACAGAATCCGTCTTTAATTGCTTCACTCCCTTGTCTTTCATTGGCCTGGTGATTTTTGTTTTATTTTCCCTTTGCCTCAAATTAAGCGTCTAGCAATTACAGCTAGCAAGGTCTGCCACGGTGCTCACGGGAAATTCCATGGGACCCTTTTCACACCGGGGAAGGGCGAACATCTGCTCCTTTCATGTTTTTGGATGCCAGGATTTAGAGGTCAAGGCTGAAGGCTTTGGGGGTCAGGGCGAGTGTCAGGCGGCAAGCAGCATAATGAATGGCAGCCGCTGACTAGCTCGTGTTGCCTGTGCTCAACAGGGAATATTGCTGTTCAGTATGATGAGCCGGGACTCAGGGTGTTTAAACACATCTAGCTTGGCCAGTGAGGCCGGCTATGCCTTTCCCCTCCTGGCTCTGAACTGCATTTTCATCCGGGAAGAAATTATGTTGAGGTCTTCATTAATGGTACCCAGCAGGGGGAAGCCTGTATGAGGGCTGATAGCCGAATGCTAGAGAGAAGAAAAAAATGACCAGCTTTTGTGCAGGAAGTTGAAGGTTTAAGTTGCTTGAACTGGAAAGGGTCTGAAGAGGCGATTATGTTAAGCAAGTAATGTGTATCGGTAACATGGAATCAAATTATGAGGGTCAGTGGCTTCCTGGCTTTCCCACCGCAGTAAATGAAGACATAATATTGCATTTGTGCCGGGTACTTCTTGAGGCCACACAGTGTCAGCACTGTCCGGTCGTCCGTACTTCACAGCGTGTCTCCTCTAATTTCGTGGGATTATCTGCACGGCTGCTTTATTAGATGCCCCTGATCTTGAGAGTCCTTTGAACTCACAGCAGGGCCATGCAGAGTCGTTATTGTGAACACTTCTCTTCCATACAAGATTCTTATTGCCTTCGTTTTACGAAGATAGATGCAGCCCACTCCCCTGCTTGCAAAGTCTTCGCTGGTTTGCACCACAAGCTGCCCAAGGGGAAAACACTCAATAGGAAAGATGCTTTGGAGGACTCCCCTTAAAAAGCTGCCAGTACAGTGGATTAATAGCAGAAAGGTATGTGGTCACCAGTGAGCAGCATCAGGGGCGCTTAGGAAAACAGGAGGGATGCTGATCCCATTGAACCAGAAACACAGGGAGGGGCTCAGTGGCCTGCGCTTTAACCAAGCCTTCCGTGTGACTGTCAGGTTAGTAGAAGCACGGCAATAACTTTCATGAAATAGGGAAAGAGACTGACCTTTGTATTTGGGGATGAAATAATAGACGAGTTATACAAACATACCCGCCTCCATGGATCCCATTAAACTGCAACGATAACTTTGTTCCGATAAAATGTCCTTCCATGTGCCCACAGAGCCTTCAGTCATGGCCAAACTGTGACGTCCTTTACTGGAATTAGTCTTCTCTATTCTTTGGTAGCAGAGAACACATGATGACTCATAAGTGATGTCTTGGTGTATTCCAGAAACATCCCCCTGGCAATCTGCATTTCCATGGCCATCATCACAGTCGGCTATGTGCTAACAAACGTGGCCTATTTTACGACCATCAGTGCCGAGGAGTTGCTGCTATCCAATGCTGTGGCGGTGGTAAGTCCACATTAAAATCATGCCAGTTTGGCTTTAGGCTAACGAGCTGATGGACCTTTATAGTGATTCCCTCCAGGAGAGCAGGTTTTAGAAGACAGTAATCTTTTCCCAGCCTGAATGCTAATAGTTTGAAAATTTTGAGCACACCTTACTTACCAATATATCATATGATACAGCTAAGTTCTTCCATAGATTCGCTTTGTTTTTATTAATCTCCTAGAAAACATTTCCACATATAGCTGCTGAAAACGCCTCCAAGGCTTTCTTAGAAGGAGGAATTACTTTCCCAGCACGGCTCTAAGGACAGGTGGACAGCTACTGAATGTAAATAAATGTAGGTTTTGATTTGCAAAAGTACAACCCACTCTGCTGGTTTCTGGTTATAAACTTTACAAATGTTGACTTGAATCCTTCCTCCGAAGGATCATTCCAGAACTTTGAGGAGGACCAAGTCTATTTATTTCTGGCATAACCTTGGAACAGTAGTGTTGGGGTATTCATAAATTCGAGAACAACTAGGCAGTTAAATGTTAAAGAGATGTTGCTGTAATACTTGAAGATGGCAACTCCTTGAAGATGGTAACTCCTTAAGAAATACAAGCATACAAATCTAAAGCATTTCCCTAAGTTTAATTGACACCGGGATCACACTTGTTTCCAAAGACCATGCTATACGACTGTTTCTCTGCAACACAGGCTTTTATTTTTGCTCAAACGTTTTAGCTTGTAAGAAAGAATTCACGCATTAAATCAAAAACAGGAAGGGTGAAAAACTCAAAAACGTCAAGTGACCGTCCTGTCCATGAATGCCAATTCATTTTAAAACAGTATCGCTTCCTATTAACGGCTCACACAGGATAAACATCTCGGTTTGACTGAACCAGGCGTATGAGTTCACTGTATGAAAAGGGCTTTGTCCACTGCTGGGCGTGCTATCAGGCAGTGACGTGTATAAAGTTTCCAGGTGTCTGGTCAGTTGCCTCACCTTTCTAGGTAAAGGGTAACACTAAATTTTGGAGACCAAAATGGGATCTGTTGATTGCATCGCCCCAGCTGCATCAAGTACAATGAAAAAAAAAATCCTACATTAAAAATAAGTTTATTCTCCACAGAAACGTGCAGGGCTGCACATGGAGGAAATCTCAGAACTTTGTCTACCTTCTCTGTTTCCTGCCACTTGTCAGGACTGGGGTTGTGCTCTAGCTTTTTACAGGAAACCCTGGAAGAAAATGGCAGCTTCCTAGGGTGGGGGAGGGTTAACTCCATGAACTGGTTCAGCTGGTATGACTGTACTGGGGGAAGGAACCGTGTAGACTGGCCCATTGGTAGTAGGACTTAAATGATCAGCTTGTCTGTTGTCTTGTCCTATCGTCTAGCTGTAACTCTTGTGAATGCATGTCTGTACCCCATCATACAAAGGTGGCTTTCTGGGCTAAAGAGCAGGTAGTGTACCAAACCATTTCTGTCTCTAAAAGCAGAATTTCCGAATTGAGCCTCTTCTTCTGATCAGAGGCAGAGATGATTTACATCACGGTTGATAAAGATTTAGTAAATGGATCATCGCTTTGAAGGGAAAGAGAAGGTGACTGTTTAGACCTTTGCTCACAGGTCTGAGCCAAGCGATGCCATGCTACCCGCTTCCGATGATTGTCTGAGGAGTCCGTTTGACCCTAACCAAAAAGAAGGGTTATAAAACATTCACATAGCACCAGGCTAATAGAAAGTCAAAGAGCAAGTTTGGCCTAAATTGTTTCATTTTATTCCTCTTTCTGGGAAAGCATTAATTTGCTTCGTTCTCTCTTTCCCCAGACCTTCTCTGAGCGGCTGCTGGGAAATTTCTCATTAGCAGTCCCGATCTTTGTTGCCCTCTCCTGCTTCGGCTCCATGAACGGTGGCGTGTTCGCTGTCTCCAGGTGAGCGGGGTTCATGTATTTTCAGAAACACATTTCTGTTTTAGAGATTGGATGTGATAAGGATAACTTTTAAACAGAAAAGCAATAGTGCCTCCGACCCTGTTGTTTTTAAAGGGATATCCAAGTTCGTAGTAGATTCTAGTGCGGCATGTTTGATTCTCTCCAGTAGAGGGCGCTGCGTGTCTACACATAGCCCGCTCTGAGCTGGCCATGCAGCATTTTTTAGAGTCTGTCTACAGGGCCTAATAACAGCTTTTATTTCCGGCGATAAAGTCTTTTGTTTTCCTGAAGGTGCCACGAAAAATAGTAAAGTAGAAAGCAGAAATAACCACCCCGCCATCTGTAACCCTTTTGCTTTGTTTGATGGCACGGAAATCTCGTTTCCTTACGTTACAATTTAAGACATATGAATGCTACATGTATGTACATGTGTCTAATGTTTGTGTGCTAGACTGGATTGACACTAGCAATATAGAGTTGACTTTGCTACAAGCTCTTCGTGTGTAGGTAAAGCTCCACTCAGTGAGACGTTGCTATTGTTTTTCCTCAAAGCATAATAAGATATGTCCCAGATATCGTAAGTCTTGACATGAGACTTATGATGAAGTCTGCCCTTTGTCTGCAAGGCACAGCTAAAATGACCATCTAAGAAACGGTAACATGCTGAGTGTGAGAAAGATGCACACATGTTGCTTTGGGGATTTCAGGATTTTTCCCATTTGAATGATTGATTCTATAGTGAACTCCACCCATGTTTTTCTCCCACCAGGTTGTTTTACGTTGCGTCTCGAGAAGGGCACCTTCCGGAAATCCTTTCCATGATTCATGTCCACAAGCACACTCCTCTGCCAGCTGTTATTGTTTTGGTAATGCACAGTAACAAGTATATGTATGTATGTATATATGTATGTATATATACACCCTCACAAAAGGTTTAGCAAAAGGCAGAGTCAGAAAAGACTTCCTTTGACTCCGTGTTTCTGGTGTGTATGGAATGCCCTGGGTTTGCTCCGCCCCATTTCTGTTTCACCTTTGAGAACATTTGTAAGGTATAATGGGAAGTAAGGGCTGCGGTTTCTTTGCTTGGCAGAGAACCTCAAAGGAGAGAAAAGGAAAAACCACAAGGACAGAGTTTCGACTACTGACTCCGAGTTCAGCTGAAAGCAGGCTGTGCAAACATTACTCATTGTCTCTCCTCCTGGCCCCCATCATAATGAAACCCACCCAACCCCATCCAAAGCGTAGATAAAACACTAAGCAGTGAAATGTTTCTCCAGTTGTAACTAAGACCTGCGAGAGCCAACCTTACGGAGAAGAAAGGAAAAGCCCACATGTAAACTGAAGCTGTGGAGTTCTCTATGCCAGGAACAATATTTGTGAAAAGTGGGGTACAAAAGACTATAAAAGGTGTAGGAGCCCTCAAATACCCATTGGCCATGTTCTAGTCATTTTTATTTGAGTATCATTTTCCCCTCAACTGGAATGTACTATTGAGAGTGCCCTAGGAAGCACTGAACATTTTTTCTTCTCTGTGCATTTAATTTGTTTCAGAATGCATCCTTGAAATTTCTCTTTAAAGTACGCATGCACTCTGTGAGGATTCTAGAAGCTAGCATCCCTTGTGGGAACAGGAAGTATTATTATTCCATGAAGAGGGCTTTCATTTGAAGCCTCTGCCGTCAGTCACGTCCTCCTTGGCTCTCTCAGCAGCAGAGGCCTGACCTGCTGCTTGCTGCTCCGTAGGCTCCATTCTTTCCTGTTCTTGAGGGTCACGTGCAGTTAGCACATGAGGAGAGCGGACCTGGAGCAAGAAGAGGTCCATGTTTTACATTCAGGAGCTAAAAGATTCACCTCATCATGGTTGCTTCCTGTGTTGTGGGCTCCAGGAGCATCTCAGAAATCACCTCAGAGCAGCCTTTGAGGTTCCTAGTGGAGCCGCATTTAATATTTATGATTGGCGCTTACTAATAATTGAATCCCCATTGATTTTGAGTGATTGAATGCTTTTTTTTTTTTAACACATTGTCTGGGGCAGGGTGACCCTGGTACACTGCTAGTCTTGAAGGCATAAGGACCTGAGTTTAGTCCCTCAGAACCATATTTATAAAGTGCTGGCGTCGTGGCTTGGGTTCATAATCCCAGTGCTGGGAAGGGAGAGGTAGGGAGATCCCTGGAGCTCACTGGCCTGCCAGCCTAGCCTACCTGGCCAGTTCTAGGCCAATGAGAGACAAGGTAGAAGTGACCTGAAGAATTGACAGACGGAGAACTGCAGCTAAGTTGGTCCCCTGGCCTCCACACACTTTCTAAACACCCCTGCATTTATACACATGTAGATGGACACACGTGCACACAACACAGAACAGCGACAGAAAACACACTGTTTCCTCTCCAGTGAAGCAAAGGAATGGACAAAGTAACAAAACAGTAAATTCTCATAAAATTCCAGCTGAACCCCGGGGTGATGACCGCATCCTCCAACTGAGGCTTAGTTGTAACCTAAGAAGAGAATATGGAAAAGAGGTGTGTGGAATGTAGGCTTCGGTCAGGATGATGGTTTCTTGTTATAAAATAAGCCATTGGAAAGACACATGTGAAATGAGACAGTGTTGTTGTTTGGTATTGCCTGCCCTCTCTCAGTTCGCTGCGTTAACCTTGTCTCCTCTCCCCCACCGCCAGCATCCTCTGACGATGATAATGCTCTTCTCCGGAGACCTCTACAGTCTTCTGAATTTCCTCAGTTTTGCCAGGTGGCTTTTTATGGGACTGGTAGTTGCCGGGTTGATTTATCTTCGATACAAACGCCCAGATATGCATCGTCCTTTCAAGGTAGCCTGGACAAGCTTGATGGGTTTGCATAAATCTCTCTCCTAATACCTAGGCCTCTTTTGTCATAACTTGATGATGGGGAGGTTTGGAGGACAGTGTCCTGCAGTGTAAAAGATGTACCTCTCGCAGGGAGCGCTTTCTAATATGCTTTACTTAGGGAAATATGTATATTTATACACATATTTTAAGTAAGATATAGTGAATTCTTCACAGATTTTACCTGTTGAGAACAGATAGTGTTAAAAGATACTTTTTGTGTTGGGTTTTCATGCATGACTTGGTGTGTTTCAGAGGGTGGAATCCCTCATGTGTCTTCCTGCTCAATTGTTGACACAGCTGGGCTCGGAAAGAAAGAGTACTTCATTAATTATAACTTGGAAAGAGGAAGAGCTTTAAGGGTTAGGAAGAGTTTTAACTTGTTAACATTATAGCTATTATATTATATTATAACATTAACATGATAAAGCAATGGCTCTCAACCTGGGGAACTAGGAGGTTGAATGACCCTTTCACATGGGTCTCCTAAAACCATCGGAAAACACAGGTATTTACATTAGGATTCATAGCACTAGCAAAATTATAGATAATCTTATGTTTGGGGGAGGGGGTCACCACAGCCTGAGGAAATATCTTAAAAGGCCGCAGCATTAAGAAGGTTGAGAACAACTGCTCTAAAGACACATGAATTAGGAAGAGCTTGCCACCAGGCGGGACAGCCATTTACCGTGCCCAGCATTTCCCTTCGGGAGGGCTGGAGAGCCGGCTTGTCGTCTCCTCAGCCTCAGCTGTCCACGGGTCAACGCCATCTCCCGATTTATTTGCTCTTAAGACAAAAGCACTGATGACGTTGCAGTCATGTCGTCAGGGTTTGTTTCTGATAGTATTCGCGGCCGCATGCCTGCAGCATCTTTATTAGCTGTTGACTAGGAGTCGGCCTGCTTTATTCCCGTCGGGTCGGAGTGTGACTCTCAGCAGGAAATCAATGTTCACTGACAGGTGTTAACACGTAGCAAAGCCACCGGCACTCTTGACTCCCTGTGAAAGTGGGTTCTAATCACGGTTACCAAGTAGGCAATCTTTTCAGATGAAAAACGTAAATCCTAATGATCCTTTGCAAGTGAAAGAATTTGAAGAGATCATTGACTAGCCCTAAGAGATCATCTACTAGCCCTAGACTTGGTTCAGATATCCTAAAAACGAAGTAAAGTTAAGAAACTGCACCTAATACAGGCTCTGTGCTGCTTGGAGAGATTTTGCTGCTTACATGGGTGGAGGCCTATGGCCTGGTCACATGACTTGTACTCTCTATCCCTGGTCTCTTGAACTTGAGGTGATGCTGTTTTCTTTTGGCCATGTTCCAGGTGCCTCTGTTCATCCCGGCCTTGTTCTCCTTTACCTGCCTCTTCATGGTCATTCTCTCCCTTTACTCGGATCCGTTTAGCACCGGGATCGGCTTCCTCATCACACTGACCGGAGTCCCTGCGTATTATCTCTTCATTGTGTGGGATAAGAAACCCAAGTGGTTCAGACAATTATCAGGTAAGACTTTTAAGCCCTTGGACCTGGAAATAAACTGTTATAGAGAACCTATAAAGGTACATACATCCAGTATGCATCTCTTAAACTTTAAAACGACGTGTGGTACCATTGTTATTAAATTACTGCATTTTAATTGCGGTTGTGAGGAGAGAGGCAGCAAAGGGCATTTAGAGTGCAGCCCTGTTGCATCCAGTTGGGCATTTCATTTGGGTGGTTGTAGCCACTGGCATTTTAGAGAATAGCTTTTTTAGGCAGAGTCTTTTCTGGTGCTGCAAATGGCCTCACTGCTTGTTGGAATCCCTTAGTGACATAATGCTTGTTCTCCTGGGTGGAACAAAACCAAGTGACTATCATAGCATTAAATCGACCAATGACATGAGATTTCTTGGTGAGTGAGGTGGAAGCCTGCAAATGTCTTAAGCAGCAAGGCTACCTCACCGCCTTGTTAGGAAAGGGCGCTGCAGAGGGCTCTGCTGACAGCAGAAGCCATGAGGAGGCTGAGAACTTGGATTTCTTTTATGTTTTCTATGTGCTTGCACACGTGAGACCGCTTTCAGTTCTGACAACCGTTTGAAGGAGTACAAGCCATTGTCCCTACTACATAGATGCTGAGTTATGTCACCAGAAGATTCATGCCACTCTGATGGTGATGGCTATTGCTTTTAGGGACCAGGGAGTACCTGATGAGGCGAAGCTATAGCCAGGATGCAGAGAACTGCACAGAATGAGGGACTAGGGATAAAAAATACCTTATAAATGCAGTCCTCCGTCAGCTAATTCTTCCGAATAAACCCATATTTAGTTAGGATTTTCTCTGTTGGAGACACTGACTATAGGTCTTCTGAAAGGAGGAGAAATTTTGTTAAAATATTTAGGATTAGCCAGATGGTGGTGGTGCACACTTTTAATCCCGGCCCTCAGGAGGCAGAGGCAGGCAGATCTCTGTGAGTTCAAGGCCAGCCTGTTCTACAAGAGCCAGTTCTAGGACAGGATCCAAAACTACAGAGATACCCTGTCATAAAAACCAAATTAAAAAAAAAATATTGGGATTAGTGTCGCTTGGCTTCTTGCTACCAGTTAGGGCTGAATTGGGAGTCATCCCTGAGACTAGGGCTTTATGTCTTGCCCAAGGCCTAGAAGAAAGAGCCAACAGTCTTTGGAAGGAGCCTGGAGTGAAAAAAAAAAAAAAACATTTTATCCCCTCCAGAAGGTTTTCTGTCCTTCCCTGTGCAGCCGGTTCTAGCTGGTCTCTCGTCTCACTTCCACAGGCGCGCTTGAAGCCACGCTTGAAGCCGCTCAGTCAGTTCAGATCAGGAATTTTCATACACGATCTTTTTTTGTTGCCCTTCTGTGCATGTGTAATTTTGGAGGTTTTGCTATTTTTCTGCCTCTAATGATGTTTTGAACATATTCAAGGCGGCTGAATTTAGTGTTAGCCTTTTGTGAAACGAACTGTGGTGGCCGAGACCCACGATGATGGTTTGGTTCTCGGGGATGCTCTGCCATCTTACCAGGGCCCCAGCCACTCTGCTTTATACTGTGATCATCACAACTCTTTATCTTTATAGACGCCGTGAAAGGGACTAGGGAAAACAACAGTCCTCTGAATTCTGTTTGATTTTCCTCTTAGGCAGCATTCTTGTAGTAAAATAAAGAAAATTCATAGTATTTATTGCTGCAGTAGGAAGTATTTTTGTAGCCTTTGGCCAAAACAAAACACACAGAGACGAAGCAAGAGCCTCCTACAGCAAGCAGTACTGGGCCCTTCCCCCAAAGATGTACTTTCTGTTAGAGAGGAAACTCCACGTGAGCGTGGAGGCGGGAAAGCCTTGCTTCCAGCAGTTTGTTCGGGAGTTTAATATCATGTTTGCTTGGCAAATTGTTTAGTTTTTATGTTATGCTGTTTGATTTTTTTTTTTAAATCTCAGTATGTATGAATGGATCCACCCTGGGAAAATGCGACAGTGACGGTCTAGCAAAATGCCCCTCGCCGGGGCTGTTTCTAGAAGTTATATCTAGACAGCATTCAGAAACCGGTGTAACGCTAGTTGGTACAGACAGCCAGGGGGTGCTCCTAGTCTCTTGGCCCAAGGATGTGAGATTTCTAGAGCTCTGATGAATACCTCTGGCCACAGGATGCCAGTATTGAAGCACTTTTTATGTTATAGTATTTCCAGAGATGGAAGAGAGCACTCTCTTAAGGGGGTAGTCAGATACGCCGACAGCTCTCTCCACGTCTCTAAGAGGGCAGTTCATTCTTCTGCTTGGTTGTTTATATGATTTATTTATCTACAGACAGGCAAACTTCCCAGGGGAGGAAAAGAGGGCAGGTTCCTCCCTGATGTGTACAGAGACACAGAGGTAACAGACCCTGGAAACACAGGCTGGCTAGTGGCAGCCGTTGAACTCGATAGTTACCTGTCCAACCTTAGCTCACCTGAGAGGCAGTAGGATGGCCAGCAGCCGCCCCCCCCCCCTGCTCAGGTGGAGATAGGGAGGCAGCTGTATTTAAACATAGTCTTTGATTGTAAAAATAAACAAACAAAAACCCATGCTGGCTGACATGAGCAGAATGCCTATATTTTATGTTTCTAGAACGCAAGCTAGGAAGTTGAGAGCCTGGAAGCATACGTTGCCCAAAGTGTATCAGGATAGCTTCCTCTGGGATGGGCCACTGAAAGCTGACTAATGCGTTTGCAGCCTTTCCCCAAAGATTAGAGTGTACTTATTTAATCCACTAAATTTGCCTATATTCTTAGGAGCTCAGAAGATGTTCCACTAGATAAATATCATGCATATGAAAGTACTTTAAGAGAACATATTATTATTTTTCATGTAACTTCTGGGGTAAGATTGACTTTGCACTGTTTCCCAAGCTCACTCAGTCTTGGCTGTTGCTCCCCTGTGGATACCAGGTGTGATGGGGTGAGTGAGATTTTGCAAAGTCGGCTGTTCCAGATTCCTTCAAGACTAGCCAGGGAACATGAAAAACAAACCTGAAAACACTGCATTCCTGTAAAGTCCCGTAGGTTTCAATTATGGAAACCTCCAACTGTCAGTCATTGGCTCACCGTTATTGATGGATCATTGTCTGGCCACTAATCTTATTGTGAATGTAAATAGATTATATGACACTCCAAAGCCACATGTTCTGCAGCGTTTCTAGAAGCTTCCTCGCCTCTACTGAGCACCTGTGCCAGCCTCACTGTTGTAAGACAGCCTACAAGGAAAAGTTGGGAAGCCAATGAATACCTAAGGCCAATGCCAATCCGTTCGCCAAACACTCCACCATTATACAAGTTATACCACTTGTATAATGGAACACCAAGGGGAGAGTTTAGAAAATTCCAGGGGAGATGTCAACATGGTTGAGTAGGCAGAACCATACAGTTTGGGTCTCTGTCTTGCTCTGCTGAAAGGAGAATCCAAACTGTGCTTTCAGAAGGACACATGCAGCTGGGCGGTGGTGGTGCGTGCCTTTAATCCCAGCACTTGGGAGGCAGAGGCAGCAGATCTTTGTGAGTTCGAGGCCAGCCTGGTTTACAAGAGCTAGTTCCAGGACAGCCTCCAAAGCCACAGAGAAACCCTGTCTCCCAAAAAAAAAAAAAAAAAAAAAAAAAAAAAAAAAAANAAAATAAATAAATAAATAAATAAATAAATAAATAAATAAATAAAAGACACATGCAAACATGAGCATCCCAGAGGCTTCCGTGTATCTGGAGTGGCTGTAAAGTTCCCATACCATCAAGAGATCTAAGAAGACAACAGTTGGGATCCCATATTTCGGGAAGACACTAGGACAAACTTTGATGTCAGGTGTGGAGGACCGGGGCTAAGCGAGAAGACAAGAACCTAGGGTTTAGCTTAAGGAACTGCACATGGGCTTGAGTTATTGTTTCTTCATTTGCATTGCTTTTCCTTACAATGCTTGTTTGATTGTTGCTCTCATGGCAGAGTGGACGGTTACAAAATACAATTTATTTAAAAATTATAAAAGGTTTAATTTACTTGACAATTGTATACATAAGACCCCTTACAATAAATACAGAATTAAAGAAAATAATGTGCCCAGGAAATTCCCTCAGGGAATGTGATTATATTTGTTACTTTTCTTTGTACTGTGACGACATACCTGGGAAGAGGCATCTTAAGGGAGAAGAGATTGTTCTGGCTCATAGTTTGAGTGACTACAGCCCACTGTGGCAGGAAAAGGCATGACTGCAGCGGTCATACCATCTGCAGTGAGGGAGCCAAAACTGCGTAGAGACTGCATAGGAAGTGAGGCTGGGCTATAGTCACCATACCAGCCATGGTGAGCTCACATTCTGCAGTCAAGCTGCACCCACTAAACCTTCCAGAGCTTTCCTAAGCAGCACCAACAGATGGTGACCAAGTGTTCAAATGCATGTGTCTCTGGGGGACATTTAGCATTGAAGCTACAAGGATCAGAGAGCCAAAGATGAAAATAGCTCTTTTAATGTAGTTAAATATTGTTTGCAAGGACCTATTAGGATGAATCATCAGAAAAGAGAAAGCATACCTGGAGGAGAGATGATTTGGTTCTTAAACCTTTAAGGGGATAGAACTTGGGGTTCTGTAGGATTAGGAGACTTCTGAAGATGTTCTATGGGCATTAGTGACAATGAACAAGCAGTGGCTAGGAAGCATCATTAGAAGTGATACAGCTCAGGGGTTCTTCTATTTTCGTGTGTTACAGTTGTCTCTTGCTGTGTTAAACCCTCAGCTTCTAAATTAAGAGACTAAAGGTTGAATTTGAAGCAAATTCGGAGTTGTGGACAATGCTGAATGTAACCGGTCTAAGGACCAGACCTTAATGACCCAGATTAGTCCAAGTTTCTGCCTCTATTTATGAGACAGCCGAGGCCTTGATAAATATGGTAATTTGATCAACAATACTACACATTAGACACTGGAAATAATATTCTTCTACTGACTGTCTGAGAAATTGGTTGTCATCCCCTATGTGAGAAAAGAACAAACCCATCTTGAGCTGAACAAGGAGCATATTTGTAAACATTTATTTATATCTTGGTTCCATTGTTTCAAAATATTTTCAGCCTCCTGGTTCATAAATAAATGTTCCCATTTGAATGAAAAACATTAATATATTCTAACTGAGGAGGCATCATGGGAAGTTGTAGAAGTGACAAGTAAATTAATTGAGCATGATAGGTTTATAATGAAGTAAATAATTCTCAAAAGTGCACTACAAAGAAGGTGGCTGTGCGTCTCACTCTCCCTCCCCAAACAATTCACATTTTGCTATTTTTATGCCGTTCAGATTTTCATGCATTTTAATCCCTTCTTATCTCTTTATAGACAGAATAACCAGAACATTGCAGATAATACTAGAAGTTGTACCAGAAGACTCTAAAGAATTATGAACTTAATGCATCAAAATCTTGGCCATCTGCCCAGGACCGAGATACAAAGTGGATCTTTATTTCAAGAAGACACGACTTTGGTGATGGACTAAAGGAAGCGATTGTTTCTATCCATATCCTCTAGTGTATTCAGAGTAGTCTCTGAGCAGTTTACTGATAACTCAGTGTATTTGTAGAAAGCAAAGATGCAAGTCGTACAGTGAGGCAAGCTCAGCTCTTGAGCCTGGTGCTTACCCATCGAGGTAAGAAAGACAAAGGGCACTGACAACTGGGGTATCACTCTCTGCAACATTTCTTATCCTGACTGAGAACCTTCAAATAGAAGACCAAAGTGTTTTCTGTATATAAGGGAGGTCTGTAAACATAGCTTTACTACTGGGACATCTATACTGTGAAAGGTGTTTTCTGTCTTACTGGAGAAAAATGTCATTATTGTGGCAAAGGGTCCAGAAATAACTTTAATTTACATAGACCTTGGATTGTTTTCCTCTAGTGACCAGCATGACTGTTACTTATCTTTCGATGGCTTGTACTTTGAGAGCATCAGAACAAAAGATGGGGGGAGTAGTGTGTGTGTGTGTCTGTCTGTCTGTCTGTGTCTGTGTATGTAGCTTGAGATCAAACTCAGGGCTTTGCAAAAGCCAAGCAAGCACTCTACCATCAAGCTACAGCCACATGCCTTACTTTTCTTGAGCGCATTAAAGAAGCATTCCTTGAGGCTGATATTAAGAGGCAATCCTAGGATTTATGTTTGAATAAAGATTGTGGAGACTGTGTTAGGTGAAATATGATCTCACTTATTGTGAGGAGGTTTGGTGTTTGGAATGTCACTTTGTTTTTATCCTGGTCCCTGAGTTCTGGAAAATGTGTACTTTTTGCTCTGACATCCATTGATGGACCACCTCTTTGGTTCTTTACTTCTTGATGAATAAAACTAAATTTTAATCACTACGGCACAACATCAACATGGGAGAAATTGCCCACGAAACTCTAAATGTCGGGCTTTATCTCTATAACCACAGTTATACTTAGTGTTAGTAATTCTAATCATTTCCTTTTCCTTTGTGGCTATTTTTCCATGGTGATGAGTTTTGACAGTGTCTACATTTCCTTTACAGTTCTGTTGAGATATGTCTCTGGACAAAACTATCTGGATCAATTAGGAAAAACACAGACTTACATAAAAACTATGGAAGAAATGCCACTGCATAGTTCAACTTTCAACCTAGCTTTTAAAAAGTTTTTACTTCTAAATCTAGGCTTTTTCAATCATTTCCTCACTTTAGTTATGATTCAACTTGCAAAAGGGGTAACTGCAGGCAAACCTATTGGAAGGAGAGTCTTCGGTATGTGTGTTCAGCTAGGTGGTGCTAGGTCAGAGTTAGAGAACACTGGTCAATTTTCAAATGGGATGAAGGTAATGGTGGGATTTTTAAAACCCTTATTTCTAACATCCAAAGATTAAGTGCTCAGCATGGCCACAGTAACTTTCATCTCTTACATTCTGACTGCTTAAAAATGAAACATTTAAAAGATTATTGTAATAAAATCATTGCATTTATAGTTAATTGCCCAAAGTACCAATGATTATTTTAATCCAGAACAATTCACCAGTTCAGTTTTTTAAAGCCTTAATGACATTTTATGTATATCGAAAGTTGACTTTTTTTTTTAAAAGACCAAACTAAGTGTTTATTTTCCTAAGTGAGTCAGTAACAATTCCTTCTGTTTTTACTAACATGGATATACTAACCATATGTCTGGTCTCTAGAATTAAAATAGTGTTACCAAAATACACCTATTTCTAGCAGATGCCACTGGGGAGGTGCATATTTTTATATTGCTATTTTTACGCTAGACCCACAGATTTAATGTGGTGGTGTCTTCTTACCTACAAAATGAGTGAAGCCATGGAAAGAGTCCTGCAGGTCTTGGTTCTTTCTGAGGCTCTTGTGCTCCCTGGCTGCTTGGTCTCATTGTGCTATGTATCTTTCCTTGTGCAAGCTGATCAGAGTACACTTTATCACCCGTCCTCTCTTTTCAAAGACTTTTTGGTAGTGTTAGATTTATAATGGCATTGTAATACTATTTTAACCAAGCACAGGAAAAAAATAACCAATCAGTATTTCTTTAAAATACAATCCACGGAGTTGCATTTCCACTTACTTTGAAATTATATCTCAAGAGAGCACAGCATTTTTTTTTAGTCATGAAATTCATGTCCCTAATTGTTCTAGCGAGAGCTTGTAAATCAGATCTTTTTATTTAGAAATAGTGCTGCACACTTGTGTGTTTTTATACAAAGTAAATTCTTTTATCTTATTTTAGATTAATGTGTGTATATACACATGTGATTATGTGTGTTAATGTTTGTGCTGGTGTACATATTTGAATGTTTACATAAAATATGATTTGATTACTATAACACAAAGCTAGTGAAACCTAAACAGTTTAAGATATACATGTAATACTCTATTTTCAGATTTTTTTTTGTTTAGTACACAAAGCCTTGAACATGCAATTTTTAAAGATTTCCAAAATTTAGGTGCAATTTTCTTTTTCTCACAGAATTGTAAGTTTTCCACTGATTGGCATTCTAACAGTGCTATTTCATCTCTTCTTTTAAAGCACCGGATTCTCCCCTTTGATTCCAAGTGGCTCTTATAAATGGTGGGTTTGCTTAGCTGGCAGCAGGACCAGCACTTCTCTTTCTTCAGAAGATTGAACAGTTGTCCTAGCAAACCTGGCTGGGTCCAGTTCCGCTTATGCATCTGCTTAACTTGTTTCTGCAATTGCCCTGTGAACAGCAACAGATGGTTTTCATGAAGACAATTACATAGCAGGCGTCCTCATAAGCTGGGATCAGCCTTTGGCAAGCTCCCTGTTTCATCTCAATTTACAGGTGAATGGGATGCAAAGAAAGCGAGCATCTCTGGCTTGTGTGGATATCTTATAAGTGAGGTGTGCAAAGACAACCCAGGGTCAGGATAACAGAAGGTGGCAATTTCACTGTCTTACAACAAAGCATGTCTGTTGTCTGCGAATGGTACCTTGAGAAGCTGATTAAGTGGCTTTGGTGTCTCCTGTGCACCCAAGCTCCTTCCAAGGCTCCTATCTCTCCTTTAGGGAAACTGTGTTATTGAAAAAAAGACCCAGAATTGGGGCTGGAGGGATGGCTCAGCTTCTGAGAACACTGACTGCTCCTACAGAGGACCTGAGTTCAATTCCCATCAACCCACAGGGTAGCTCACAACTATGGGTGACTACAGTTTCTCTTCTGACATTTGTGTGCACAAGGCATGCACACGGTGCACACACATACATGCAGACAAAACACTCATATATATACATATATACATATACATATATATATATATAATAAGTGTATGCAATTTTTAAAGACCAAGAAAATTGCATATACAATACATACTATGATAGCTACATTTTTGTAAATAAGATAAAAATAGTTTCTATTATTTTTCCATTAAAAGTAATCATAGAATATTTGTAAACATATTTTAAAATACTTTAAAATGCTCTATCAATTGAAATGTACACATAAAAACTATTATTGGTGGCTTTCTCATAAGGTCTATGTGATTCAGAAAGCAATGGTTTCCATTGGGCTAGGTTGTGAGTAACAGAAAGGCGATTAATGAACCTTTATTTGTAGCTCCATCTCTTACTTTGGAAAGAAGTAGATTTGAGCTTCCAATGAAGATGACTCAAGAACCTTACTTGATTTGAATATCATTTGCTTCAAAACGTTCTGTGTGTCAGCGCTCGTAGAGTGCAGGATGGTGTTTTATGTCCCTAATCCATCAAGGCCGGCATTAAGTCATGGCGTGGTGTAACGGCAAGGAAGCTCATAGAGGATATAAATTAGAGCAATAATGAGTCACTTGCATAGCTTCTGTTTACATTACATGTGGGTAAAGGAGTTATTGCCTGAACATATAGTTTAGCTAAATTTTCCCATAAATAGTATTTCCAAAGTCTATTTCAATATATTTCATAGCTAAAAGTGTGACGGCAAGGTAGGTTACTGATTGCTAGTATTGTTCTCTAAAACAGATGATTCAACAGCCCGTTTTTATATGTAATCTTTTATGTTATTGAATTTTAAAATCACTAGGTATCTAAATATAAATGCTTTGTCTGTTTTTATGTCACATGTTGGTGCAAAAGCGTGACTTATGGCCACATAGTTCACCATTTTATTATATCCAGAGACATTGTCCTTCTTACCAACTCATGACAATACTGTTAGTGTTTTTTTTTTCTTTTCTTCTGTTTTTAAAATCATTTCTGCCTAATTTACATAGTAGCAGTTTCCTGGGTTTCTGTTTCAGTTTTTGACACTATGCCTTTAAGATGATAACTATAGAAAAACTCAGGTCCCAAGAGTTTCTCAGTGGGGGGACATCTTCCACTTTTATTCATTTTCTTGGGACCACCCACTACTCTTTTTTTTTTTTTCCACTTGGCTTTAAATGCAGAAGGTGGTTTCAGCCTCCAAGCAGCTACCGGCTACATGTGTGTATGTACATGTGTGTATGTACATGCATGTACATGCCTGTTTGGATCAAAGGGACTTTTATAGCATCAATCCCTGCCCACACAGGTTTATAGATGATACTTTCAAAGAAATGGAGACGCCTTAAGTATCTGAGAGTCGCGGGGATGGCTGCAGTAATTCAATTCGCCCACTTTAGCACGCACACTAACTGAGTTTTGAACTGAAGTAATCATTGCTTAGAAGACCTGCTTGCTACGTCCCTGTTACCTCTGACGTCAGTGTTGAAGGCCAGGGCGAGAACGAGAAGACTAGTGCACAGTTACCTCTTTTGTAGCAATAACTGTGTTTTGAGCACTTCCTGTGGGGTACTTTCACAGCATCTTGTGGGAAAATGAGTTAGGTCTTTGGATGTCACAGCTCTAAGTGGGTTGTGCGTGGTCTGGTTAGAAGGTGCATTTTGAAGGCAGATTTTACACATTCTTGCTAATGACCCTTAGGAACCGCAGACTCAGAACTATAGCCATACCTTATGACGAGACAGTATGAGTCCCTGCATTGAACGGTCTTGTTTCAAAGAATTTACAAATTAATCTTTTCCTAGAAGTTCTCTATTATTCTACTTACTAAGCAATATAATCAAATATTATCTTAAAGTAGAAAAGTACTGTGGAGAATAAAAACACAGCCAACCACTTAATTTGCAATGAATGAAAGTTGATAGCAAGAGAGATCACTTACATTGAATTACTTTGCGTTCTGATTATTTCAGGTACTTGTCAATATCACTTTTTATTACTCTGAAAACAAAAAAGTCCTGTATCATTAAACCTATATTTTCCTATATCTATGTAGATATAGGACAGTGATTATTTGAAAAACCACCTGAATTCCCTTATGATTTGAGTTACCTGACCATCTTAAAGAATTACTAGCCAGCCCTTTTCTCTGAGAATTTCATCGCTGCTGCTGTAAAATCTGCAAAGACATTTTTAACTAGGTTCTTCTTGATATGACCCATGTCCTGGGATTAGTGCAATAGCAGCATGTATACTTTGAAGGCAGACACTAGCCCTGAGTTTCTGTTTCTGTCAATGGGTTTCAGCACCATAGTAATGAAGGTTAGTAGTGTTTTTCAACATGTAGGAATTTTGCAAGCATAAACATCAGGCATGTCTTCTACCTGTGCCAACAGGATGAAAAAGTATGCCATTACTGAATGCTGAGCTGGTGGCCTGTGGTTTTATACTAAGCACATTCCAGAGAACGCACTACAACTGGCCCCTTTTGTGGGGTTCTTGGAGAACGTAATTGTCTTCCCTGTCAGATAAGACTATAACCCTGAGTTTCATAGTGAGTAGTTCTTATTGTAGTGGGACATACATGATAGTCATGCACTGGGAAGGGGAAGTTGGAGTTACTAATTCAGAATTCCATCAATTTAGTCACTTACATATGTCTTTATTTTAGTATATCTGGATTTACTTTGCTAAAAAATGGGTTTGTCAATTTTATCGAGATACTTGATATACTAAGTTTTTCTTCTTTCGTCAAGGAGTAGAAAAATTCTTCTGCGTGTTGGTTTGTTCATATTAGTGTATCAGGCACTGTGGATAAACATATTTAACTTTCTTGCATTCTTCTGCGGACGTCATTAAGTAGTTCTGGGGGAATCCCTTGAGCCGAGTGACAACTGTCATCTAATCTGTGCTCCAGATGTCATTTACAAACATGCTAAGACCCACGTTGGATCTAGACTGTGATCCTCATGACCTTGGAGCACTGTCCACGTGGAAGGAGCAAGGCAGCTTTGTTCTGGTGATCTCAGTACAGGATTAAGAACACGCTGCCGAGTCAGAGTGATACCGTGTGCTCTGTGCACTCCTCGTCTCTGGCAGAGTTCTTTACCCTGGTGTTGTGACGATGAACCTTGGCCAGGTGATGGCCATAGTTTGCACAAACTACACACAATGTCTGACGTTGAGTGGTGAATACTTGCTTAAAGGGGAAGATGGCTTTGCTACAGAAACGCTGAATAATGAGCTGTGAGCAGTGCAGAGAAACTGTTGTTTGTGGATTGTGTTGTGTCTTCGAATTCCTTGGCGCTGGTGTTGTAACAACATGTGGTATGCGAAATAAAGTGGGCTCTTCTACAGCTAAATGATTTCCCTCTAGGGAGAGTTCTGCGGTAGTTAAGTTTGCTAGATGCTCTTTTTGGGATAGTTGTATAAGTGGGAAAGCGCAGCAAAATAAGTGTGCCTTCTGATGGAAATGCTTCTTGTTCATCTTTTCACATGGAATGCATTTTGGTGCAATATGATGTCACTCCAATTTGCATTATTGAATTTTATTTTAGTTGTATTTGTGGAGCTGCCCACTTGTGCTTTTGGCTGATTATATCTTTGTATGTCTGTCTTGTACATATTTTTACTTGAAAATACTTTAAATGGACATTTTAATAGCTATTTGATAGTTTACACATTAAACATTATGTTTTGCTTTCTTTTCAATAATAAATACTGCTTTAAACCAAAGTTTCTGTTTTTTTTTATTCAATTTGTCCCACTGATTATGTGCATGTGTTGAACCATATCTTGACATTAATTCTCTGCATGTAAAATAACAATGAAAGATCCTATCTCTGCAACATTTTCATGGTCCATGTCTGACCTTTTCTCTGACCTAATGTCTGATGTTCACATGTGGGACAAAGTGTCTTTATTTGTTTCCTTTGACAAGAGTGTTGTCTCTCATTTCCTTCTTATTCAGAATCATGTGTTTCACTAGAGTATTCTGTGTGAAACTGAAATCAGGTCACATTTTCAAAACAATTTCTTACTTGTTTCTCAAAGTACTTTAAACTCCTTCATATAGGATGTAGGGCTATCCACAGTATGTAGGTTTCCCCCTAGTGTATAGGGTTTTCCATAACATATATGTTTTTCCATAGTGTATAGGGATTTTTATAGTGTATAGGGTTTACCATATTACATAGTTTTACCCATAGTCTGTAGGATTTTTTCATGAATACAGGGTTTTCCACAATGTGTAGGGTTTTCTATAATGTGTAGGCCTTTCCATAGTGTATAGAGCTTTCCATAGTGTATAGATTTTTTTTCCCACAGTATATACAGTTTTAGTGGGCTGGGCTTTTCTGTAGTGTATAGAACTTTCTAGAGTCTGTTCTTACTCCACCTCCTACAATCTCTAACCACATTAAATATCTTCTCAGAGGTTCGATGAAGAGCAGATATCAATATTATTGTTTCTTAATGCAATGCAGACTCTTACAGAAACTATATGCTACTTCCCAACACCTATATTCCTTTTCATACAGAGCAAACTTCTATTCAACATTACAGAGTGAGTTAAAAAATGATTTGATTCAGAAATGCTCACGAAGTCGGTTCAGGACTCTGTTTCTGATTGTCAGCATCCTGGATGTCTCTCTTTAGAACTCACTGTTTACTACTCTAATTGTTTGATTGATACTTTCTCTCTGGTTGGATTTGTCTACTTTGTCTTTCATGGACTAAAGTAGGGCTTCATCTTTTTCCACTCAAAGCTACATTCCTTGCAATGAAGTCTTACATAATTCTAAATATAAAGGTGAATGAAATATGTATATTAAGTAAATATTTACTGTTAATAATAAAATTCAAAGACAATTAGGCACATATATGATTTTACTACTTATTAAATGTGAAAGCAAACTTGCATACTAATAAGGTAGACATGCTTGCTTATGTTTTCATAAAGAATTTAATCTTGCCTAAATATTTGATATTGCAGAACATAGAGGAGCTTTAATGTTTTTCAGAGTTGACTAATAGTTTGATTTTAT